ATATTTGCTATGTCATCAGGAAGAGTTGGTATGGCTCCATTAATTTCACAACAAGATATCCTTATCCCAGGGAAATGTGGATTGTTCCAGTATTTATTGAATATTGAGCAGTGTTTTGTTTGCCCATGATCATGATTTTGGTCCTGGTCATATACAATGTTAACATAAAATATCCAGAGCTGGTCTTGTAGTTCCTTAACAAACTTTTTGTATGGAATCAGTGGGGCATAATCAGTGTACTTTGGAGGGTGACCCATAAAATCATTAAGCTTGAACAACAGATCTAAATCAAAGTCAACTGTTCTGGTGTCTTCTGTGATATAGTTAAAATTTGTAACATTTTGATTGGAAGGAAAACCAGATAAAAATGTACGATTGAGAAAAGGGATTGGGACCTCTGCTTTCCATAGACGAGCAAATCTAAGCAATGACAGTAAATTACTGACACCCATTGTCATTTGCTCCCAGTAAGAGAAAGCTAGTACAAATCTTCTAGGGAGTGGAGGAGGTCGTATGGACGCTACTTTATACTTGAACTGCGATGTGACATGGCAGCCAGAGCTTGATGGGGGATTCCATTCAGGTTTGTGACTGCTGAAGTATAAGAAAACGAAAACAACAGTAAGAAGTAGTGCTAAAATAAATATCCACTTTCTTACTGTCCGCATTATTGGACTATATAGTCTTCTACTTCAAGTTGGCAGCATAGATATGTAGTACTAAGCCTTGTTGGCAGCATAGATCTATATTGGCAGTGGGTCTACTAGGCATGGATATCAGAGTAAATCAAAATATCTAATCTATGGCTCCTGCATACAGTATACCAGATTATTTACTGCTTACAGTTATTTGGGTGTACGTGGCTGTTCACAGAAATGACTTTTTAGCTCATTTGGTAAAAAATGAGGCCATGGAATAAAGAGTTAGAAGTTTCTAAAACGGACCGTTTCTAAAAAAATTATTATCATGTCTATAGTATGTATTTCTGAGGCAAAATATTTAAATTAAAACTGCATGAATGTACGGCATGCAGTAGACATCTTGTTTTGTGGTTTATATGCCTCTATCTGGTATTGAGAATAGATCTACAAACTGATTCCAGGTAAGCCAATTCTCAAAAAGTTTTGAGCTAGAGTTAATTTAATGGGTAGGTATTTGCATGTTTGATGTCTAGGATGTGTCATGCATCTCATATGAAACAACACTAGGATCTAATTTCCTTGAAAGTGGACAATAGCATCAGTTGTTGTTATTGTAGTAATAATATTATTATTACTACTAGTACAAATGATGCCTCCTTTGTAGTTAATTTCCACTTCCAAGGAAAGTAGTGTTCTATGCATGAGTCATTCAAGACATCAGACTACAATCAGTGCGATAAAAATTATTATAAGCTTTTGGTACACGTGATACCACGTGGATCAAGTGAGGGCGAGGCCAACAGGACAACAAAATGTCCAGCTCGACGAGGTTACCTTTGCGTAATGCTAGTGGGCTTCTTGTTCTCACGTTAGATCCAAAGTGGATAGCTGAAATCCCCGACCATCCTGTCTCTCTTGGTGATCTTTACGTTGTCTCTTATCCGAAATCTGGCACAACATGGACACAACAGATTGTTTCACTCATTCAAAGGGGAGGAGAAAAAGATACTCATATTACTGCTGATATACCATGGCTGGAACTTAAAGGGAAAGACTTTGTGCTTGTAAGTTTACTTTCAACTGCCTGTCAATGTATGCTATATAAACTCCAGGCTGGACTACATGTATATTAATGTGTATGTGCCAGTACCAAACTTCCTACCATGCATACAAAAGGCTCCAATAAATTGGTGGTCATTTGTGGAGGTATATGTAGGCTATAAAGCCAATAAGGAAATTGAGTACCGTATAGTGGAAAATTTCTGTGGCCCAAAAATTTCACAGATTTGTCCAAAAAAATCAATTTTGTGGCTTTAATTTTTGTAGTTTTATACTTTTGTCCATATTGAACCATATTAAATCAACTTTAACTTTTGCAGATTTAATTTTTGTGAATTTTGAAAAAACATGAAATTCACGAAAATTTTTGGCCACGAAAATTTTATACTATACTGTATCCTAGTTTTCTCAAAAAGCAAGGCTTGAGCAAGGATTGTCTTTCCATGTTAAACGATAAATTTTCCTAGTATCTTTCTTTAGGCTTGGGGAAAAAACTGGATATTGACTGCATTCCAATACTTTTTTGCCTTAGGTCAGTTAGGTGGGTGTGACAGCTCCTCACAAATGCCAAACCTTCCTCTTGATCTAGTAGTGCAATGTCATTTCACACTTAAGTATACATCATATCTGCGTTAACTAGATTAATGATATTCATTGGGATACAAAAGAATTTCTTGGCTACCATATACCTCCATCATCGCGGCCAGAATAATTTTTTCATTTATGGTATGCAAATGAATATCATTAAAAAGTCTATAAATTTAATGCATCACATTCACATGGATTTGGTGTGTATATAGCCTCTTCTGTTCAGATATTTAATTCCTTTTCTTGATTCTTTGTGATGGACCTTTCCATTGGATTTGGTCTCACTTGCAAAATGACTACTTGTACTGTTTATATTACCAATCCACTTTTAGTATTTAAAAATATCATTTATTTTATACTACCATAGGCTCTGTCATCTCCTCGTACCCTAAAGAGTCATTTACCATATCACATGATGCCTGGAAGAGATCCTGCTAATTCCATAGCCAAGTATATCTACATTGCTCGTAATCCTAAAGATGTGGCCGTGTCCTATTACTATCATGCAAAACGCTTTACTCATTTTGATTTTACTGGTGACTGGAATTGCTTCTTTGAGTTCTTTATGAAAGGAGAAGTTCCATTTGGGCTATGGTTTGATCATGTTCTTGAATGGTGGAAATATAAAGGTATAATCATACATTTTAATCAGATAATTATAGGTATCATTTTTAGATGCTGAGAATATTTTGTTCTTAATGTATGAAGATTTAAAGAAAGACCTGTCTGGATCAGTGAAAGCTATAGCACAATTCATGGGATATAGTCTTGATGATGCAATGATTGAGAAGATTACTAGACAGTGTACATTCGATAGCATGAAAGATAACCCACTAGCTACTTATGACAGTCTACCTGAGGCGCCAGAGGTTACCGTGAGTAATTCTACACCTTTTATACGTAAAGGAGTGATTGGCGATTGGAAGAATCACTTCAGTGATGAGCAGTCTGCAAGGTTTGATGCTGAATACACTAAAAGGTTGTCAGGAAGTGGCTTAGTTTTTGAATTTGAATAAGACCTTTTTATTTCTAATTGAATTAACATTTAATTTTATATTTTGATGCTGCTATTGCACCATGATTTTTACATAAATATGTGTATTTTTTTATATGTCATATCATGACAGTGATGACACACCTCTTTTTCTCCACGCCCTTCTTCAAACTCAGGAAACCTTGTTACCTTGAGTCTGTGTTATAATGCCTCTTCGTGTCAGTAGGTGTTTCTTTATAGTATCTCTTTTGTCTGGGAGTGAAGGTTAGCTGGGGTTCGTATGCTAACCTGTTGACGGTTTTGTTAGGTTTGACTGTCAGTCTTGTCAGAGAGGTGTCTCGTGGCTATGACTCCAGAAAGGAAGGCTTAACCAAAGAAAGTGATTATGTTGCTGTTATAAATCACTCAAAGAAGGTATATAATCCATGTGGCATTGATGATATGTTATGACCTGCGGGTGTTCTGTATTTCTGTGATACCATATAGCCGGAAAGTTGTGTGCTAAGTTTGTGGCCAAAAACTTTCGTGGTTTTTGTGGTTTTGAATGACACCACGAAATTAAAAATCATAACATATTTTGCAGGTTAATGAGTGGTGTGAATGCTTCACTGATGATCCACAAATGGACTGAGAGCTACCAAATCACAAAAGTTTTTTTCTACGAAACTTTCTGGCTATATATATGATATTGCCATTTTCAAAATATTAATATTTTTAAAGTTAAAATCTCTGTCATTAGTCTAAAGCAAGATTACTTAATACCAAAACATTCCCAATTAATGGTATTAAGTTATTATTGTGCTATTTTGGTTTGAGCGGGAAATGAATATTCTATCAGATAGTCAAATCTTTTGTTTTAGTTTCCTGCTAATCGATGGTTGCTGTGTGGAGATCAGTCATCTACTCCTGTTACACCTGTTACATCATCAAAGTCACATGTTAGTCACATGACATGGGATTCTTTGCAAGATACTATCGTCGAATCACTTAATGAACACAAAATAGAAATGGATGAAACAGCTCTAGCTGGTGAGATCCATGACTTATTGGATAATGTTCCGTGGGAATTAGAAGGTATTTACATCTTTATAATAATATTAATTTTTTACAATTGTGGCTATATTACAGTCATTACATATAGACTTAGTAGTATATGTTTATAAAAATAGCTGCGAGTTAATATAGAAGGTTAAATCACTGTGAAATGAATCACAATAACATACATGTACAGTTATATTAACAATTTTCTTGTATTTTTAGACTATATTTTATTTGATGTAATAGTTATTGTTCCTGAATTATTGAGGTAAGGTTTGTGCATAGTACATCTCTCATGGAGTAGTCATTCCTGCTATATGTACTGTACATTTTTTCATTCTAGTCCAACTGTCTCTTTGTTTGGTGCATTGTGGAGACTGAAGAAGTGGCATAACAGTTCACTTTATTTTCTTACTAATGATAGTAACAGGTATTTGGTGTAATGTCATAATTTATGTCCTTTTACGTTTTTTGAATAATTTGGCATTTTGTGATTTAAATAAAATTAATTGTTCACTCAATAATGCAAAATCACCAAGAATAAGTACAGTAAGTGTACACCAAAGTTGACCTTGAGCTATAAAAATGATACCTTGTACATGTACATGTGCATTTTAAAACAGCTGCCAGCTTCTGATAATAAGACCACTAGTTTGATAGTGAACAATCTTCCTGACCTCCAATAAAGCATTCTGATACACGTAGGTCAATTCAAACTGTTGCATGGTAGAATCATCACTTTCCTTATTTCTGTTTCAGTATTGTAACACATATACTTCTTAATGTGCACGTCCATGTATCATTAATGACAAATAAGTACAATGTGCATGTACATGTATGTATTTTCCTGTTATGTAGCTATAGCTCAATATGGATTGAATGGTCAGAGTGTTTGCAAGCTGAGGTAGGATCATTATCAACTCTAACACAAAATACGTTAACAGTGCCAATCATTTGGAGAGGCTCATTATATATTCAAAAAAGAAGGAGAGACTCCCCTAATCTTCCTCATGCACATGTAATGGAATTATCTGATTTTAAACTGCTTTTAAGACAATCCGTCGCTTCAGTTGGTGGAAATGATGATTTATGTATAAGTGCCTCGGCTCATCCTTCACATTTAGAACTAGTTCAATTGATTGATATTAATCAAGTCCCCCTGCTGTTTCTATCTGGTGTTCAGCTCCAATTGTATCCTATCCCTTATTATAGTAATGATGTACTCATGTACAATACAATTCTACATGTATAATGTTGACTCAACACACAGTTTCAGTAGGTGTATTTACTATGGCTCTTATAACAGGAATGATAAGTGTACATGTACTATTACAATTATGTATGTACATGTATACATGTGTAAACATTGTGGAGTGGCTATTTTTAAAATCTTGTTAAATTTATTGTCATCACATATCTAGCATTTTGTTGTGCTTGCTCATGATATTATCCTTGACTGTTGTGATTCAGATACATTGGATCGTCTAGTTTCCCAGTGTTTCATCAGTTATTCCAGTTAAGTAATAGTCAGCCCAATGCTAGGAGCACTACTGGTGTCTTACTGAGGTTATGCTATAAAGAACCAACTAAAGTGATAGGACAGTCTCAAAAGAAGACGAGTGAATGGAAGAACTTTGTATTAGAGCAGGAAAAATTAGCTGGTAAGGTCACTTATAGAAAGCTTCTTTGGCCTACATGTATATATTTATTTGGTTAAGGTTAATTCTTAACTATTTGTACATGTAGTTTAATTTACAGCACTACTAGCTTTAACTATTATTAACTAAGATGAATTAGCTTTTAGTGAGCTATAACTTAGAATTAATGGCATGCAGAAATGTTGTCTTTTGCATCAGGATTTCCCACAGAATTTTGGCATAGTGCTCAGTTGGATTTTAAATTTGCTTAATAATTTCATAAAATATTCCTTACTGGTATTTGTCAATTAAATGTAATCAAACATGGCAGGAAAGAATTCTTTTCATGTTTTCTGATATATAAACATGTTCTAATGTTGCATAGAAAGTTTGAGCTAGTGTAGTTCTGATCAAAAGTTTTATTTTTTAAGTTTAAAAATCCCATGGTCTCGGGCCAAATTTTTCCAAAGAAAGAATTCTATATTTTTATTATTTTATCTGATACATACATGTATATATACATGTTCTTACGTTGTGTAGAAAGTTTGAGCTGTTTTTGATCATAATTAGATTTTTTATAACTTTTTGAAGTTGCTTCAAAATTGGGTAAAAGTCCCTGTAGTGTAAGTACACGGTCTCGGACCAAATTTCACCAAAATTGAAAAAGAGACAATTCTTTATTTTTATAATTTTATCTGATGCATACATACATGTCCTTATGTTGTGTAGAAAGTTCGAGCTGATTTCAATCAAAATTGGATTTTAATGAATTTTAAAGTTGCTCAAAATTGGAGTAAAAATCCCTGTACTATAGTACACGGTCTCGGGCCAAATTTCGCCAAAATTGAAAAAGAGACAATTCTTTATTTTTATAATTTTATCAGATGCATATACATGCTCTTATGTTGTGTACAAAGTTCGAGCTGATTTCAATCGAAATTGGATTTTTAATGAATTTTTGAAGTTGCTCCAAAATGGAGTAAAAATCCCTGTACTATAGTACATGGTCTTGGGCCAAATTTTGCCAAAATTGAAATAGAGAGAATTCTTCATTTTTATAATTTTATCTGATGCATACACATGTTTTTATGTTGTGTAGAAATATTAAGTGGTTTTTGTTCAAAATTAAATTTTTTATGAATTTTTTAAGCTGCTCCAAAATGGGGTAAAAATCCCTATACTATAGTACACGGTCTCAGGCCAAATTTTGCCAAAATTGAAAAGGAGAGAATTCTTCATTTTTATAATTTTATCTGATGCATACACATGTCCTTATGTTGTATAGAAAGTTCGAGCTGATTTCAACCAAAATTGGATTTTTAATGAATTTTTGAAGTTGCTCCAAAATGGAGTAAAAATCCCTGTACTATAGTACACGGTCTCGGGCCAAATTTGGCCAAAATATGAATAGAAAAAATCTTCCATTTTTATAGTGTTATTTGATAGAAACTTAGAGCTGATTCCAAACATATTTTTTTAATTTGCTCCATGATGCTATGAAGCTTGTCCTCATATGAAGCATACTTTAGGTCAATTAACATGCCGTATAGCGGGTAATTTTGGAGGGGATTAAATTTGGCGAATTTGGCATTTTGCTGGCCATTCGCCAAGATAAAAATCTGCCATTTTGAGCCATTATATGCATGCTCAATGGCACATGGCCAAAAATTTGCCAAATTAAAAATCCGCCAATCACCAAAATTTAGCAATTTATCAAATTCTAGCCCCTCCAAAATTACCCGCTATACGGTACTTTGTGGGAAACCCAGCTATGCATAGCTTGTATGTACATGTATGTTATATACACTCACATGTACATGTATACATGTATCTATAGATTCAAGTCCATTAGTATCTGGAATATCAGTTGGTCCACTATTATTGGTACCTCCTCAGCACTCCTCCTCTTATACTGATGATACACATTATGATGCTTGGCTACTGAATCAACCTCAATCACTTGCTTGTACTTCTTTTAGCGATTTGTTGCAAGATCTTCAAACATATTCATGTAGTTCAAATGGTTAGTCGAGTTTGTAAAAGTGATTATAAATATATATGTATGAGCTTTAAAAGTGTTTTAAAGGTACTACATGTATTTTAGTATCTATAATAGAGTGTTTGTAGTACTTACATATGACTAATTTCTTTTGTATTTTAAAGCTCTCAGACCTTTTTCAATCCCACTTTACATGTGCATTCACACACAACAACACAAAATTTGCTTTGTGTTATAAAAAACAAAAGTTTTGAGTACTTGAAAATTTGCTTTGCCTCAATTATAATTACAGGTCTTACATGTACCATAGGGCACCTTTTTAGGGCTGTAAATTTCACTGATTTTGCGATTTTTAAAGATTCACGAAAATTACTTTGGTGAAAATCAAATTAATATGGTACAAGATGGCAGACAGCAAAAATTTGCGAAAATTAAATCCACAAAATAAAAATCTGAAAAATCTATAGCCCTTGAAAAAAAAGCGCCCTAAGGTAGATAGTGCATTGTTAATTATTACATGGCTGTTTTTATCAAGATTTGAAAGGACGATGCATGTACATGTATGTAGATCTATAATCTACTCTTGATACAGAATTTCGTGGGCTGTAATTTATGTCATGAATTTTGTGGGTGATTTTTGTGTGTGTTATTCATTACATTTACATTTTTTAAAATCATTTTATTTTTTGTAGATTGCAATGACTTCGTATTAAAAGATCTGCCCCTTTTAAATTCTTCGCAGAATTTGTAAGTAGTCTTATTATTATTGATCGTCAATAATTATTATACCACTTGTATCTTTAAGATTGCATTCTTCTTCCTTTGCTGATGATCATTTTGATGTCAATTGCAATACTGGTAAGCATTAATACTATGAGTACAATAGTGTAGTGTTATTATAATGTTACCTTTTAGAGTCTGATCTTTCGTGTACATATTCATGCCCTGAACTAGCTGCTATCACTCTACTGGAGGATCAGCTAAAGTAAGCAATATTATACTGTATAGCTGGAAATATTTGCTGGAATTTAATTTTGCTGTTTGCTGTTTATCATAAAATGCACAATTTAATTAGGCAAATTACATTATAGGTATTGGGTGTATCAAAAGTTCATGCCTACACCTGCAAAATTAAATTCCGCATGCATTAAAATTTGCTATATTGGTACAAAATTGCTCCCACAAACTTTTCCAGTTCTATGGCAATTTTACTGATGCATGTATTGATGACCTTGTGCTTTGCAGAAAATTAATACTCTTTCTGAATTTATTTTTTAGTTATGAGCAAATGTAGCAAACTTTTGAGAAAAATTATGCCGTTTTTGTTAAAATAATTGCTTCGAACATTTTTTGATACATTATTTTTTTAAATAGTGGAATTTTTTAAAAAGCATGGAAACCACCATAGTTAAAAAATGAACTATAGCCCATCCAAATATTACCTTCATTCATTTATTAGTAATTTTGTGAATAGGAAAAAGATCAAGCGTACCAATACTTGTGATCTAACATTAGGAGGTGTGGTGGCCCCTCCTCCTCCAAGTGGTTCATTCTCTGCTCCTCTTGTTAGTGATATTATTGACTGTTTTGATCATAATGGAGAACCTCTTGCAACATCTGACCTTGTACCAGTCGCTATGGTAAAGCATACATACAGTATAGCTGGAAATATTTGTTGGAAGTTAATTTTACAATTTCCTGTTCGTTATATAAACTAATTCCACCAAGCGTTAGCACATGTAGTTAATGGTTGTACCATCGGCTCACATCTACACTAGCAAAATTAAATCCTGAATTTGTTCCATTAGCACAAAATGGCAAAATTATAAATCCCACGAATATTTTCAGCTCTATTGGTTTTTCATTCATTTGTGCAATTGGACATGCAGTGTAACTTATTTTATACTTATATAAAATAATATTGGTCATTCTCTATTTTGTATAGGAGGATAACAATGGATTATCTATCCATATGATCGACCCTGGTAAATTATACTGTACTTGTATACGGTAATGTACTTGTAATTATTGTTTTCATTATTTTTAATAGAAACAGCATCATCTGTCAGTTATAAGAAAATATTAAGCAGTACACCAACTAGAGCACGTAAATATCATGGTGTAAAGTAAGATATGCATCTTATCATTATTGTTCTCAACGATAACTTGCTGGTATCTTTTTGCAATGTATTATGTACATGTACATGTTCTGTCAGTGTTAGTTTTTATATTTTTGTACAACTGATGAAAGCCTTTGGGCTGAAACGTTTTGTTTATTTTAGTAAAGATTGTGGTTGTGTATAATATGCTAAATAGTGAGGAATTCATGCATGATTCTGTTGATTGCCTGACCATCACAGAGCATTGCTTATAATTGATCAGTTATTTTACATATTGTTACCATTATACATGTAGTTATTGTCTTTCTGAAGAAGATAAACTAAAAGAGGCAAAGCTTTTGAAGGTGCAGGAGCGATACATTCCAAGGGAACGATCCTGTCATTGTTCAACTGCTGAAACTCCTTCTAAAGAATTAAAGAAGATACAGCAAAGAAGACTGTTGATGAGTAGTGCTAAAGATAATAATATAGAGGACGAGAAACTTGATGTCAAAACTTGTGAAAAAGAATTAGAACCTGCTATAAATGAAGAATCATCAACAACTGAAGTGTTGAAGAATGACACCACTGCTGATGGTATGTGATGTATTTTATTTTATATTAGTACAAGAAAATTTTAGGACTTTCATTTCATAGAACAGCATTCTCCCTATGATGTTCGTGGCTAGTGCTAGCTTCTTATCATTTTAAGGGCTTTTATTTACATGTAGTTTCCTTTGTACACTTTGTTGAATAACCCTGGTCCGCCATGGCATCTTATTTGAATTTATTTACTTAATTGCTTTAATATTGATATAGCCTGTTGCACAACTTCTTTTTTAATTAACAAATCCTCCTACTGTACATGTAAGTCATTTTTAATAGATAATTGCAATTATTTTTACATTTATGCATTTCTTTTGTTCTCAGACAATGAGCTGATAGTACCTGTACCCCAAAGTAGTGAAGAAGTAACTGATGCAACTATTGCCGAGTCAAATGAAGACTGTAAGTCAAAAGAAAAAAAGAAAAGAAAAAAAGTAAGCCTCAATACCGTATAGTGGGAAATTTTGGAGGGAATTAAATTTGGCGAATTTAGCGTTTTGATAGCTATTCACCAAAATAAAATCCGCCATTTTGAGCCATTATATGCATGCTCAATGGCACATGGCCATCATCAAAATTTAGCAATTTGCCAAATTTTAGTTCCTCCAAAATTTCCCGCTATATGATACTCTAAACTGGCAGTAACTAAGGCAGTACTAAGAACATTACTTGGTTTATGGACTTGAGCAGCCCCAAATTAAAAAAATGAATGAACTAAATTTTTAATTATGCATATGCAGTACCATGGTGGAATTCATTTATATGAGATAGCATGTAGTGCACTGAACCACTAATATATGATAAATAAATGATAAATGATGTTCTAAAAAATATTTTTCAAGTTATGAGCATCATAAGAAATGAACTAATTTTAAAAAAATAGCAAGGTTATGACCCATATGATTTTTCCAAAAATTGGCTCCGATATTATACCCAATTTTTATTACATTTTCTGATGCATATTGACATTTTTATGCTATGTAAAAAGTTTGAGCTGTTTTTGGCTGATAATTTTTCAAGTTATGAGCATTTTTGAATCAAGAAAGTTTTGTCAAAAGCAAAGGCTGTGTATACAATACAGGAAATTTTGGTCAAAATAATTATTGAGCAAATTTAAAATGATTGGAATCTGCTCAACAAAATAATTATAAGTACATGCATGTACTTATGTGCATCAGAAATTGTAATAAGAATGGAAAAATTTTCTAGTGATTTTTGGTGGAATAACTGTACTATTATACCAGGTTTTTGACTTGAATGATAGTTTAAACTTTGTGTTAATCTTAATTTATTATAGTATATGGAAACGTGCATTGTGTCATCACTTAAAGCTTGCAACATGAATAGATCTCATTCTCGTTTCAAAGCTTGCTACCAGAAATGCTTCAAAATTAGTAAATTGTACATTAAGGTAATCTATTATAACTGTAACGAACTAAAGGTTGCTTAATTCTACTTTGAAGGATCTCAGTGCATCATCTGATGTAAGAAAACAAATCAAGAAAATTGTAGAAAATACAGTTCATCAGGTTAGTTGACATGGCTCTTTTTATTGTGTAGATTTAAGTATTAGTATGGTATGGTCACTATGGTAGTCATTTTTGTGTATCAATAAGCTTTGGTCATTGTACATGTAATTACACATAAAGTAAATGTAGCATTGAGATAATGATTTCTTCTTTAGGTTGTTCAATTTGAACTAGAGCAAGCTAACAGATCTTTATAACTAATAATATTATTATCAGTTTTAAAATATCAATATTAAATTTTTTATTACTTCATTAAAAATTGATAACATAGATCTAGTTTAAGTACTTAGAACAAATAGACTGATTTACAAACTCAATGAGAATCGAACAAGAGATTGAGTGGAGAGTGAAGGTGGAGAACCAATGACTGATGTCGACCATTGATTGAAAAGTGCAGACTGGCAAAGTTACTGTTGGGTATTTGCTTCAATGAATGTATGCATGCAGTTGTTAAATTAAGGTTTAAATTAATACTAGACTACTCATAGCAACAAAAAATAAAAAAGTTTGATTAATACTGCTCAAGATGGTATGTACTTCTGTTCTTAGTGATGACCAATTAGCTTGCATCATACAGATTACATATTTATAAGCTAGGATTGAATCTGCATCTGTACAATGGATTGATTGATAATATGCTAGGCTATGTCACGCAAATTATATTATTAATCCTTCAGTAAATCTAATTCCAAAAATACAAAAATTAAGAATCATGTTTATCGTATAATAACTCCTCTTACTTTAATAAACATGCAATTATTATAAATGTATTGTATATCAGGTGTGTTGGTGAAGAACTGGTGATGTGGACAAAAATCAGGCAACCCCCAAGCATTCTTTGCAGCTTCTTCAGTGTCATTGACTGGCATACGTGTATCATCAAAGGCATATTTGAAACTGATAAGTTTTAAGATGTGAAAATTATTTTGCTTCCAGTTAATTATTTCTATTGTAATATCAATGTCCATTGGCCACTTCAATTTTCGGTCAAATTCTCCTTTAAGCAAACGAGCATTAATGGTGACATCTTTTCCAGTACCATAGGGATTGACTTCTAGCCTCAGTTTATAGCCGTTGCGGTGAGTATAAAATGGCTTACTAATGTGCTTAGTCTTGTATGCAATGTGTTGATGGACACCAGGAACTGATGCCCCCAGCAAAGGTTTGTTGAACCAACCAGCACTCATCCAATCAGGAACCAATTTCTCCAAATGAGTGCTGTAAACTGCAGTATCATATATTCGAATGCGCATGTTATCCTCTATAAGATACTGTGTGTTAGATTCATACGCAGGAAACAGTTCGTTTATTGGAATAGCTTTTGATTGAATGCAAAATGGAGATAGTTCCACTCCTTCAGCCTCAACTCTTGCACGAGCACCATTATGACTGTCATCATTAAACTGTAGAACTACTCGATAATGATTACTGTCACTGTTCCAATTCAATATATCTATTACGACATCTGCTGTAATGGGCCACTGCAGCTCATCATCATAAGGACCTTTCATGAGAAAGCAATTAATATAAATAAGAATATTCTCTCCATTTGCACGAGTAACAGAATGCACATTAAAACGCAATCTATATCCTCGAGCAGATGTGTAAAAGGAAGGACTCAAGTATGGACTACCTAGTCGAACTTGATCCATAAAACGAGTTAACGTAATTTCAAAATAATTTGATAGCATGCGTTGCCAAAGTGGTGCCTTCAAAATTGAAGGAGTTGAATAAACGATAACTTCTTTTACTTTAAATCTTAGGCAATCATCATGTAGATACTGTGTATCTGCATTTCCATTGTACTTAAGAGAATAGTACGATATAAAAGATTCCGCTTCACAACCAGAAGGAGCACTATCTCCTGTAGTAACTTGAGACTTTGACTCAATTATAGAATCCTCATCAAAATGAATGGTGAATGTATGATGATGAGCATCTTCTTGCCAATTAACTAGCTGCACTACAATACTAGCTTCAAGAGGCCAGATAAGATTTTCATCATTTTCCCCTTTTTGAAGTCTAGCATAAAGTCCAATCTTTTGCTCACTGGATGAGAACTGAATTTCAATGCACATTTTGTATCCTTCAAAGTGGGTGTAAAAGTCAGGACTGTACAAGTATGTGCTTCGCTCCATCAGTTTTGAAACGTTAACGATTGTAAACTCGCAAAAAGGAGATTCGTCATCAGGTTTTTGCCATCTAGGACGCATTAAACTAAGCTCATTTGAATGAATAGTGACTTCTTTTACTCTAAAATAAAGAGTTTCATCATAGAAAAAATTTCCAGTGAGCAATGAGTAATGGATAAATTGAGCATGACCCACACCCTTATTTTTTTCACCTACTATAACTCTGTCACATGCATTGCCGTTGACTTTAGGAGATACCTGTATTAATTTTGTAAAATGGCTGGTCTCATCAATCCAGTTAACTAATTCCATTAAAACGTCACCACAAAATGGCCACATGAGATAGTCATCATTTGGGCCTTTCATTAAATGGACGTATACACTAAAATAGCCTTTGACATTTCCCTTGACACAAATCTGCATCTTGTAGCCGTTTGAAAAAAATGGTTCACTATAGTAAGGGTTTTGATGTAGATTCTTAATAGTGAACTTATCTAAGGTAAACTCGAGTGCTGATGTGTAGCCAAGTCCTTGCTCTCTCCAGAAAGGAGTGGAGTAAGCAACAGCAAAGGCAACTTTGAAAATCAAGCAATCATTGTGCAAATACTCTGTATTTGTACTTTGATTATAAGCTAGTCGAGACTGTGTAATAAATTTTTCATACCCATGCAATGAATTTGAAAAATCGAAGAGAGGCTTCATTGTTGCTTCCGTGGGAGCATTTCCATCAAACATAATCGTGCAAGATTTATGACTATGATCCCCTCTCCAATTTATTAAGTCAATTTTTATTTCTCCATTAAAGGGCCAAATCAAAAAACTATCTTGATCTGTTTTCATTAATGTTGCAAAAACAGAAACATGGGTGCCAGTGCCTGCACCAAATCCGTTAGGATAGACAACTACAGCTAGTTTATATCCATTTTCATGCGTGTAAAATGGAGGACCAAAAAATTGTGTGGATTCTATGTTCTTACTTCTTTCGAATGAGTTAAGAACAAAATGGTTAACACAATTACGCTTAGCCCAAGGTGGAAGTATAAGTGTGGGCGAGGGCTTTGGCAATATCTTTATTCTTTCCACTCTAAAGCTCAAGCACTCATAGCAAATGTATTGTGTATTTTTGGAAGGTTGATACTGCAACTCTTCATTTGATGCAAAATCTGTAATGCCCTTTCCCCATAATGCAATTTGATCTACATGCACTTGCTTACAATACTCGTCACCAGGCAAATATATAGACTTTGTGATGCTGGTATCGTTTTCTCTCCAATTGTGCAAGCTTATCTCAACTTTAGCCTGAAGAGGCCACTGCAATTGATCATCATAATCTCCTTTTAATACGCATACATGCACGGACAAATGGTGGCTTTTCATGTGCAAATTTGCATCAACTCTTACAATCAACCTGTAACCTTCCTCATGTGTGTAAAATGAAGGACTGTACCAAGGCTCACCACTGTTTAAGTGCTGCTGATAATTTGTCATTGTAAATGAAAATGGGGCAATGCTAATTTCTCCATTTGCAGCAATTGGTATGACTCCAATAGCTGGTAAAACAGCACGCAAAGGACAATCACTCTCTAAATGATTTTTAACAGCATCTCGCTGCATTTTAGGACTTGCGCAGCGATTAGGACAACTTATCATGGCTCTGCGATGCACGGAACTAGACTGGCAATTTCTTTCTGCATGCTCATCTAAATGACGCAGCTCACCAGTCCATACACATCCAGCATGTGAGTTATAGCAACGGACTTCCAAATTTTTGTACAGGCGAAAAAAGAATTTGTCAACAATGGCATCAACATCTTCTTCGCGACAATTTGGGCATTTATCTGCTGCATACTTAAGTCGAGTAGTACAATCAAAACAAATGTGACTCCCACAGCAAGTTGTTTGACAAACCTCCTGCAACTCCTTAAATGGCTCAAAGCAAACAGGGCAGTCACAATCAAACTGAGGTGGGTTAACAAACTGAATTTGATGCTCTTGTTGCGACATATCTAAAAAGAAAACAGAGCTATAAAATAGGAAAATTTAATAGTTTTATACACAAAATTTTAATGTATGCAATGTACAAAACAAGTAACACATACATGTAAATGTATTTAGTTTGCGTAGCAAAAATGAATTTTTGAATTTGCTCAAAAACTGGACCAAAGACCCTGTACTATTAGAGTACAAAGTATTTCAACAAAAATGGCAGTAAATTTTTTAATACACATAATGTACTTATGTTGTGTAGAAAGTTTGAACTAATTTCGATCAAAATTAGATTTTTACAACTGAATTTTTGAAGTTGCTTCAAAATTGGTCAAAGTCCCTATAAGGTCTTGGGGCAAATTTTGCCAAAATTGAAAAGGAGAGAAATAGTTTTCTCTTATTACTTTAGCACAACGTCGCTTAGGATTCAAACTTATTACTTTGTTTAAAATTAAAGAAAACATGTTTTTCTGACTGTCTCATCCTCTAATTCCATCTGCTCCTTCTCTTTACTCTCTCTGCTTAAATTATCAAGGCAATCTTAAAAAATCATCTGCAAATCCTCGTCCTTTCTTCACTCTTTTTTCCCATCAAGCATCAATGGAACTCTCTCCCGTCCTCTATGTCTCTATTTCTAAATTAAAATTATTTATTTCATCTAACCTATATTGATCTATTATTTGTTAATTGTTATTAGCTTTTGCAATGATCATTCAAAAAATCTCATCTTCATAAATTTTTCGGATACATGTACATATACACTTATGTTGTGCAGAAATTTTGACCTGATTCTAATCAAAATTGAATTTTTAACAAATTTTTGAAGTGGCTAAAAAATTAGGTTATTATATTATACACGTAGTTCGTCCAACAGTGTTGTTTTTTATATTTGTCTTTAACTGTCTCACACTTTATACATGTTTGTTGTTGCTATTTTAATTACATCAGATAGCTCAGCAGTTTATAACATAAATTTAAGTGAAATTTTTAAGTCAGGATTTCTTATCTCTGGCACTCATGATGGCATCTAGCCACCTACATGCATCACACTGATGGTACACATGCACTGTCACATAAATAATCATTAGTTATACCTTAAGGAGACAATTGTTTGCGGGTATTTAATTTAGTAAACTTTAGCGATTTAAAAAAAAATCGTTAACTTAAGTCCGCGCTAATTTTAATTCTTCATTGAGAGTGGGTGTGGTCACAATCAATAAAATGGTGGCCGTCAGCAAGTCTGAGCTTACTTGCAGCAAACGGTCAGCAAGATAATACTAATAAAACTGCTGTCCAAAGACTTCTCTAGTAGTTAGCCTAGGTTAAAAAAGCAGATGACAATCTTCTCCGTTCAGTGACTACTTCTAACTGTAAGCAAGATAACTTTACATGTTAATGGCTGCAGAGTCAGTGATGAAGCAATTTAAGCAAGATTAATGCAACAAGATCTACTGTATTAGTGTATTTAGACTTGTGTAATTGCTTTGCTTGCTCATACATGTAGATCACAGCACATAATCTATAGCTTGCTTAGGCTCGCCCCTTTAGTAATTCTTCTAGAAGTTATTAATACCAAATGATCAAAAACGCTAAATTAAGTACCAGCCAAATGTCAGTTTCATGAAAATCGCTAAAATAAGTACACGCTAATAATTGTCTCCTTAAGGTAGATCATGCATGAATCATTGTGCCCATATCTTCCATCCAATTATTTTTAATCTCAAGCTTAATGAGAGGTTAATGTTTGTTGATTTGTTTTTACTAAATTTTATTGCTAAAAAAGTAGCACCTATATCAGTATGATTAAGACTGACCTCATAAAAAGTACAAGAGCATCAAATAAATAAGAAGCAGTCTTGATTCTTGAAGACGAAAGACTTGTCTTGCTACAAAGAGGCGGAACGACCTCGAGGCGGAACGAGTGGACAGCACTAGCGGTTTTTGGTCATTTGGTGGGTGGGGCTCACTTTGGGCTGAGCCCCACCCACCAGCGTCGCTGCATATCGCATGCGCATGCATGCATGCATGCTCCATTATCTATGATGCAACATTCCTAAATTGTAATGCACTAAATAGCATTTTAATATACAGCTTTACAAGAAAGGAAAAACTATTTCATGCTTATATTCAATTTTTGTGTTAATTGGAAAGAAATTGCATTGTGGTAATTTGCTCTTCTTTGTTAACTTTCATGGGCTTCGTCTTGAAATTTTAAAGCACAAACTAGTATGATAATAATAAATATTAAGAATTAAAAAATTAACTTACTACTTATAGAACTGCCAGAATTCTTTGGCTCATTGTGTTTGTTATTATCTAAAGGAATTTTACTAGCTCATACAAATTGAAAAATCAATACATTTTAGTTTACCTGTTGTTTTAAATTCATCATCAGATTCACAACTGGACTTGTCTAAATCATTCAGTGGTTGGAGTATTGATGCAGGAAGCCACCCTTCTTGTTCATCAGTACTCACATACCAATCATCTGTAATGCAACAGCTTTTAGAATTACCAGTATTCACACTACATTTACTTTCATCAGAATTGTCAATAACACAAACCACTTCTCCTTCATAGACTGTTAGTTCATTAACAGATTGCTTAATGTAGTCAGCAATTACTTCATAGCATTCATCAGTGGTCATTTTATTTTCACCGTCACTAGCTATAGAAGTAGCAGGGTCTTCTCTAACATAAAGACAAGGGACACATCATACTGAATTTTGTACCTTCCTGGTGGCCATCACAGGAGATTAGAAATGATGGTGGTATGACACCCTCCTGAGAAGGATCCATAATTCTCTTTACCCTCCAATGTCGTTTGTCAACTTTATTGATGACCGTTACTATATCTCCTGACATAAAAGATTGTCTTTGATTGTGCAGTTGACTTTCATAAGAATGCAAAACTTTATATAGCCCATGATCTACTGAGTCTGATACAATTATTATATTGAATTATATAAAACATTTATTTGATACACTCACCAAATTCATCTTGATCTTCATCAGCTATGGAATCATCAAAAATAACTTTAAGATGGCTAGCAGGAGCCCATCCTACTCTGCCATGCTCATCTTGCACATACCACCAGCCGGACTCTTTCTTCTCAATCACAGTAACACTAGCTCCTCGCCTTAATGAAATCTGATACTGATCTGCTTGTCCAACAAACTTTGCCATACATTCATATAGCATAATCTCATGGGAGCTACCTAATAATTATTAATGATTTTCTACATGTTCAATTTTTTTGTTACCTCTCCTTTCATTGTATTGTCTAGAAATCAAATAGGCAACAAAATAAATGTATCATTAGTTTAAAGCTTATACTTACATAGTGCCTGGAACACAAGTACTTCTTCTTCTATTTATGCTCAGTTTAATCTATAGCAATTATTAGTCATTATCTATATATATAAGTATTATAATATCATTACTCTTTCCACATAAACTGATGCCTGTCTTTTATCAAAGGTTTTAAAAAGGGTTCCAGGAACAAATCCTTCCCTGCCATTATAATGAACAAACCACCAACCATTTTCACTTTCCCTTATAAGACGAACAATAGCTCCTGCATCAAAGCTCAGCTCATCATCATAGCATGCTTCATAGGAAGTTGTACTGATAAACCGTTTGCCAACTAAACAAAAAGTTATTTTACTGCTATCTACTATGCACATGCATCTATCATTTTAACCTTTTTCACTTTGGAAAAGATCATCACTGTCACCAGTCTCATCATCTTCATCTACTGGTATAAGATAAGAAGCAGGTGCCCATCCAAGTGTACCACTGCACTCTACTAACCACCACCCTATACAGATCAGATATAATAGATGCTTATCCTGTATACTGCTTATGTGTGTGTGTATGTAGGCTTCATCAAATAATAATATAAATATTTACAGGATTTGTATTTAGCATTTTGTGCTCATAAAGCAAATTTGAGTGTTGTTGTGAGCAATTGATGTATCCACTGATTTATGAAATTAAATTGTGTGTTTTTATCATGGCAAACAGCAGAAAGCAAGATTAAATTACAGCAAATACTTAAGAGTTTTCCACACAATTTTGACACAATACTCATGCAGCTTTTTGTCATTGATTGTCAAGTTTGTCAAAAATTGAGTCAAAGACCCAGGTATTTTGACAAATATTACAATGAAAATTTTCACTTTCGTACTTCCTTTCTAGGCTACACATACATATTCTAATATTGTATATCAAGTTTGAATTGATTCCAATCAAAATTGGACTTTTTACATATTTTTAAATTTGCTCCAAAATCTGGCTAATAACACTGTACTTTAAGGCAAATTTCATCAAAAATAGCTAGGATAAAATTGTCTATTTTTATAATTTTTTTGATGCATATACATCTTCTAATCTTGTATATTAAGTTTGAAATGACAAATTGAATTTTTTAATGAACTTATAAAGTTGCTTCAAATTGTTGTCATGAAGCATGCTGTTTAGCTCACATAGCTTACTTTGTGGGAAACACTGCATTACCTGATTTATCTTTTTGAACAATATGAACAACTGAGCCTGATTTTAAACTTAATCTTTGCCCATTATTTTGTGATGACTTAAAGTCCGTGATGCAATAGCATGCCTTCAAACAAATAGGATTACTGATTTCACCATCACTTGTGAAGCCTGTATAATAACCAATAGAAAACAAAATCTCATTCAAATTTGACTCACTGCATTGATTTAATTCCTTTTTATTCTTCTTCCTTTTTCCGATTAGCAATAAGAGATGCATATAATTGTTAACTGGCTAATAACTTACTTCTCAGCAGGTAGCATCATATCGCAAGAGTGAAGTGCAAAAAAAGAAATAAAATCCTTGCTTTTCACCAGGCGGCTTGGTAGTGCTGGTAATGCCTATGTTATATGAAAAGTATACTCATAATATAAAAAATACTTTAATATAAGTCTTAAGATGCCTTTCAAAGGTACTGTCATTTTTTTGTATACGCTGAACACCAAAAATGGTTTTCTTTATTGGGCAATCTGGAATAATTCTCTCATGCTCATTGAAATAACCAGCCTCAATTGGAAACTGTTTTAGAAGCGTCTTCTACAAAATATTATATAGATCTAATGCATTAATGGTAATAATTGCCTGAAACTTAGCAATAGCTTCTAGTGATCGATAAATTGTGTAATGGCTTTCATCAGATAAAGTGACAGCAATAGCATATTCTTGTCTCTGCACTTTAGATAAAATGAGAACAGATATTATGAAAAAACTTACTTTGTTTTTGCAGGATGCATCTTCTTCTCCTAATAGTTTAGCTTGAACTACATATCGATTGATCGACACTTTAGACATGATTTTACGAATTTAGAATCTATTATCTTGGCCCTTTTTATCATCAAGCCATGGAATAGGCGGTCACTTGAGGCATCATACGTAGTTATAAAATCTATGATGGATGCAGCGCAGCGCGCTAATGAGGTGTGCCGCCGAAACTGAGGTGCGCCCTATGGTGCGCCTTACAGCATAATAATTAATACTATCATAGATAATCCTTACAGTACTTATGCTCATTTATAATGGCATGATATCATGGTAGACATTATTATTTGTAGTATCATTATACTACCAACAGAAAAAAGAATAAATCAAATTTTCTGTGTTGAAAAAGTCTGAATCCTCCTTGTCCTAGATATCATTATCAAAATACTTTTGCCAGTAGAATGAGAATTCTGCAAAGTATACCTAATAATTTAAATCTTGTTATTACTGCCGGAGGGCTATTAGATTACCAGTTTTAAAAAATCAGCTCTAAATACACAAAAGTTAAAATAGATCTACAATGGTTCAGTAGTTACATTTTTATAGCATTAACAAGGCTCTATATGAGGCCCTGATTTAAAACCAATGATTTAGCCAAACTCTTAAATTTACTATCATTATGGTAAACATCAATGTTAAAAGAGCTTTTATTAACTATAGTTAGCATGATAAACATTAGTAAACAGCAGTAATCATTAAAATATATATTTATGTACAAGTATAGGTGTATGTTTGAACAGTGCAAAATGAAAGCAAAGATATGGCAAAAGTAAAAACAATGTATATTCAATAGTTTATAAACTCAAATTTCAGGTATTATAAAGAAGAATAGAGATGGGTAACATAACCACAAGCAAGCCAGCTAGCGTAGTTGAAGGATGGAAAACAAAACAATGCTAACAACTTCAAGTGAAGCAGATAATGAAATGAAGCTAAAACAAAATGTAGCCTATCAACCAGTAGTAAAGAGCAATGAAGATCCAATGTACTCATATCTTAATGACTATTCAGGTAGATCTAATATAGTCTATTATAGTGATTATTAAAAATTTTTAATTCATAGATTATCAACTACCAAAAGCTATTGTTAAAGCCACTAATAAGTTTCCTCAACAGCCAGTGCAGTACGCTGTAGGAAAGAAGTCATTTGTTGCTATAATATTTTTATTGCTGATAATAATATTCCTATTAGTGGCTTTACTTGTGCTTGATTTGGTATCAAAAGACATTTTTGTTACTACAAGCCCAAGCAATTCGAGCAAAAATGGTGGCTCCACCAATATTGCCAATACTTCAGGTCAGACTGCTATTAATAGCAACCTGTCCCTGATATGGAATAAAATAGACAACTTATTGGAACTTTGTGATACTACAAATATCTCAACACGATTGAATAATGTGGAGGAAAAAATAATTGACCACAATGCTAATAGTAACCTGTCAATGATAGAGGATACGATGAACCAAAATTTTCTCCTCCTTCAAAATTTAATAAATAATATCTCATTCACTTTTCAAAACAGAATTGACAACTTAACAGAACAGATAGAGCTAAACAATGTCAACACTAACAGTAATCTCTCACTGATACAGAATACATTGAATCACATAATTCATCAGATTATGATACATGCTAATAATACCAACAGTTCTGTAGATGAACTGCTTCAGTTCCTGAACACTAGTCTTATTAACGATATCAGTATACCAGCTGCTACTGCTCTTAATAGCATACTGTTAACAGTCAATGAAATACTAGACATACAAAATGGATCCTCTCAAGCTGTTTCATGCAAAGACATTAAAACAGCTCAGCCATGCAGCTCTTCTGGTTACTATCATGTTAATGATCGCAATATCTACTGCAATATGGGAGAGCTGTGCGGACAAGAAGGAGGATGGACAAGAATAGCTTATCTTAATGCAAATGGGAGCTGTCCATCTGGATTTGAAGCACTGGTCAATGGAGAAATAAGAGTTTGTAGGAGAGAGGGTAATTCTGCTGGTTGCAGGTCTAACATATTCCAAATGCATGGTATCAGTTATAGTCAAATATGTGGGAAAGTAGTGGGATATCAAAAGGGAACAACTGATGGAGTCAACACTCACATCAATGATATTAATAGTGCTTATATTGATGGAGTCAGTATTACACGTGGGTCACCACGTCAACATGTCTGGTCATATATAGCTGGGTTTAGTGCAAATTATCATTTATCTGCCTGTCCCTGTAATACTGGGGCAAGTAATACAGTTCAGAGTTTTGTCGGAAATCACAGTTACTGTGAATCAGGTACAACTGGAACACCAAATTGGCAATTTTTTAGCACTGCTGATCCATTGTGGGATGGAAATAACTGTCCTCAAAATGAAGCTCCTTGTTGCACAAATCCTAGTCTTCCATGGTTCTTCAGAGATTATGATAATGCTACCATTACTGATTACATTGAATTGAGAGTGTGTGCAAATGATGGATACGGTGGTGAAGATATCCCACTTCAATCATATGAGATTTATGTCAAGTAAACAAACAATAGTTATTTGCATGATTTTGTATTCTTATAGTGTTTGTTTTGGTAGTAAGTTTTGTAGTAGTTTTACAGTTAGAAGTTAGAATTATTATTTTTACATAAAAATCATCATTTACCATAAGCAAATTTGTAATGATATTTTGTGCAGAAGACATTGTTCAAGTAAATTGGAGCAAATTACAAATAATGTTTAGTGTTATAACAGTAGAAAAGCTAATTACAAATAGATCTATTATTCTAGACTAACAAAATAATTTATCATTAGAAATGATGCAACTCCTAAAAGCACATAGTCAACACTAAAATAACAATGGAAACAATAATAGAGTGTTATTGGTGTATTGTATGCATGAATTGATGCAGTTACTCATAGTACCGTGATGACCAATAATATATAAAAATAGATAGGCTTATATTCATATCTCCACATTATCAACATTATCAAGTTGATTTCGGCTAGTTTGCTAGTCATGTTATTTGCTTCCATATGTCCCACAGAGTTATGAAGAACATAGAAAAGTTTTCAAAACAATTATCCTTCAGGTTTAAAGTTACACTACAAATCCGACCAAAAACAACAAAAAACAAAAAGCAAGACAAACAAACACACAAAACTATATCTAAAGCAGGCATTATGGTTTCCTCGAGGAATGAAATAAACAAAAAACATGAAATGGAAAACATTGCCATTATTTATGAGTGATGGACAGACAAACACTGAGACAGTGAGACTATACCCATGCCAATCACAGGCATGACCAACCAATTGTCAACAACTTCAACAAAAGTATAATTTACAATCATCATATAAATTGATTCAGGTTGAAATGCATAGATCTACAACAAACTAATAGTTGTTATGGTTGTACCAATCCATGTGATCAATGTGAGTCTACACAAATCTAATTATTTTGCATAACTTATCGGTTCATTTAATCTAAAATCTCTGATAGCATTTTTTATAACAAACTAGCAGGTAATCACATATTGGCCTTACCACTAATTAACTGGCATTGAAGTCCCACACAATAAGTCTAAGAAGAAATTTACTCTAAAGGATACGTGTCTCCATGAATGTGTGGACATCAGTCACTATTGGGCATGACCTATCGTCAGTGCTGTTCATCTTGAATCAAATCAGTAAATCATCTAAAATTCTAACGATGAAATATCTTTCAATAAACATAAAGCTAATTTATGCTGACTAGATCTACATGCTTTTTGTTTTTGTAATATTAGGTCTATTGTTATCATTATGAACACATGATACATAATTATTATTCAAACATATGTAACAGTGCAAGCAAAGCAGAAATAATATAAACTCATATCTTTGTCTGTCTTAGTCCATAGCGAGCCTGCCGAAGAGTTTTATATCCAATCCTGGCTGCATGCAAAGCCAAATATACTTTCTGGTCAAAGCAATCAATATAATAGTTCCAGAAAAATCTAAATAAATCATTCCATGTCTTACACTCAAATAAGGTGTAATCTTTATCACCCCTTTTGAAAATTTAACATTTTGACACCTTGAAAGTCAAGTCATTATAAATGAGTATAGAAAAAATAATAAGGTACAATTACTAAAGCAGCAATAATTATAAATTATAATTGTCATAATTCATACATCAAAAGTACCGCATTAATCCTTTGTTGGATTGTATACTGATACGTAAGCACATGCAATTGTCTTGAACATATTGTGTAGCTCTCGTGTCAGTGAATAACACAGTGTGAGGTAAGAAATGCTGTATTCCCCAGGAACTATATGATGCTTCATTATTGCCCACTACTGGCATGCGTGATTCCGTGGGTCCTTCAGAAAATTTGAGAGTTTTGATGAAGTGTGAACTGTTTCTGTACCAGTTAAGTACCTCT